GTGGTGCTGGGAAGCAGGGGCCGTGGTCCTGGAAGCAGCCTGGTTGCATGTAGATGAGAACTCCAGTGCCGCAGAGCTGGCCTAGAAACTGGGTCTCCGGGCTTTGAGACAGACACTTCTCAGTTGTGTGAACTTGGGCAAATCATTTATCCTCGCTGTGCCTCAGTTTCCCCATTTGGAAACTGGGGTTACCATTTTCTATTTATATTGGGTTTGTAAGGGTTAGAAACAATTTGTGATACCCTCACTCACTCCTTCCCTCTGAGGTTCTGACAAGGGGAGCATGCTGGTGAATTTTGTGTGCCCAGTAAATGGCAGGCATTATCACGGGCACAGCATTCTCACCCACCAGCTTCCGTCCAGGAAACCTGGATATAAAAGTTAGACTCTATCTTGAGCAATGTCTCCCTTCCCAGACCACATGTTGGAAGGTTTCCAGTATTTGAGTTCCTTGATGCACCCCATCTGACTTCAGTTGGTCTTGTTCTCCTCGACTCTTTAGTATACGTTTTGCACTCCTCTGTCAATTTTCCTGAGTTGTAAATCGCATGTCTTGGTACCTGGGGGTGGAAGACCTGGGAGACACAATGGTTGCTACTAAATATCTGAAAGGTATGAGAAAGATTAGACTTGTATCAGATAGCCCTGGGGATAAAACCAGGCCCCAAAGGGAGATATTCCAAGAGACAGATTCTGGTTCAATATTAGAAGGAAACTTCTAGAAGTTGCAGTCCTTTGAGCTTGGAGTGGGCTACTTGGGACCTCTGTGTCCCTGGCTGGTTCCAGGAGCAATGTCCACTGGACAGTGGAGTGTTATGCTGGAATTTCAAACATTGGATGGATAGATGAGTTATAGTCTCATTATATAACGTTATATCGTTTTTTTTCAATTCTGACCTTCTCCCGTGTGTTTGCCTCACACACTCACCTTCCTGCAGAAATCTGCCTGCAGAGTTCCACTTTTTCTTTCCCTGGCTATCAGGAATAAGCCTGCTGCTGGGAGATGAATGACTGCCCAGAAAGGAGAGTGAAGAGCAGGTGGGGAGATGGTGGAAGGGGGTACAGAAATCCTTTGAGGGAAGAAGATCCCTAGGCAGAGAAAGAAGTTGACTGAGAAAAATGATGGGAAACACACAGTCTTTGAAGATGACCCAAGAAAATGGCATTGAGGCATGATGAGGCAGTGTCACCCAATGGTTGGGAACGTGGGAGCTGGAGCCAGGTTACCTGGGTTCAAATCCTGGCTCTACCACGTACTACCTGTGTGACATTGAGCAAGTTACTCAATCTCTCTGTGCCTCGGTTTCCCCGGTTATAAAATGGGAATGGTAATATTGGTATCTTTATGGCAAGGATTAAATGTAAATATTTATGACATGTGACAGGTTCCCCCTCCCAAAGGTGTTAGCTGTTTGTTATAGGGTAAGTCTGAGAAGTTCTATTAAGGATCAGGCGCAGTTCAGAGTAGGATAGAAGCTTTATCAAGGAATAGAGATTTTCTTATTTTAATGGTGAAAAAGAAGAGAATTAGGACAATAAGAGAGATTTAGTAGCACCAAGCTGGGGAAATAATGGAGGGAGAGAAAAACAGTGGAAAATAGAGGCAGCTTCAAAACCTAACAGAAGGGAAGGCTACACCCATGATTCCTGAGCCAAATAACCAGCTTGAAAGTGGAGTGAGAGAAAACAGGCTGGGAGAGGATGGAGGGAAGGGGATTCAAGATTTCTCAAGGAAGCACAGTGGGAGGAAAGGAATTAAGCAAACTTAACAGATGTCCTTTTGAGCTTTCGTTGTTGGTGCCAAATTATTTAAGCACTGCGCTGAGCCAGGGGTTTGGCTGACTTCATCAGATATTTTCTATTTAAAAGACTGTCTTTGTTTTCTGTTTGTGGCATTGTACTTATTGTTTGAAAAACAACCCCCCTAGATTGAATAAATTCTCGTCAGAAAGTCGAGTGGGGCCTAGGAAAGTTTGGGAAGGGGTAGGTGCATGTTCAGAAGCTTTCCCAGATGTTCACGAGAGCCAGGAAGCCAGGAATCCAAAGCCGGAGGACAACATACCGTGCTCTGGACCCTCAGAGGCTGGACCTAGGGACTTGTGACTGGAAGAGCTTGGAAGCCAACTCTAAATTAATACTGAAAGCATCTGGCAGAGTCAGTTACCCTTCAGAAATCCTGAAAGGGACACAGCCACTGTATTTGGAGGCAAGCAGGGAAAGAGTGGCTGGCCCTTCCTGTGGGCGTGCCCCCCACTCCGCTCCTCAAGGGGGGGTCTTTCTCTGCCCACTCACCCGCAGCAGAGGAGATGCCCCTTGTTTCTGTCCATGGTAAGGTAGAACAGACCATGGTGTTGGGAGGCTCTGGGAGGATTCTGTCAGCATCCGTCACTTCCTAGCTGTGGAGCATGGGCAAGCCACCTAACCTGTCTAAGCCAACCCCTCCCTGTACAAATGGGGGTTGTGGGCCGATTCTGTGACAGTGTGTGCAAGCTGCTTTGTGAAATAGAAATTGCTGTTCACATGGTACTGCTGTTATTTTAAACACAGCTTCACCATTATTTAATACATCCAGCTATGCTAGAGATGCCAAGCTCCCAGGACTGGGAGTTCCTCCCAGTGGATCTCAGGGCAGCAGAGTGTGAACCAGCTCTGTGCACGTGACCATACGAGGGAGCAGTCCCCTCCAAGGATGCCCTCCACTGACTGTTCACACGGTGTCTCTCGCCAGCCAGGCTGCTGCTCTGGCTCGAGGCTTTCTGGAGGCCAGCATCCCGCTGTTTTCTCATGGCACCATCTCCAAGGAGGCAGATCCTGCCAGGGATGCTTAGCTGCCCTTTAGGCTGGTGATTGCCAGGCCGAGCAAACCACCCCACCTCATGCCCTCTTAATCCTGTGCCCTGTCTGGTGTAACTAGAGGGAGGGGGTTGGGGTGAGGCCAAGGGGTAGGTTACCTGCCCTCTCACCAGCCCCGTGCCTCTCCACAGGGGCCTGCCCCTCCACCTGCTTCTCCACTGATGGCTGGACCCAGCAGGGCCTCTGTTCAGGCTTCCCTTCCCACCAGGTTAGGGTACTGAGGTCAGGTTCCAACTGGTCTCCTTGCGGAAGCTCTCTTCCCTTCACTCCATCCTGCACACGTGGCCAGAGACATTTTCCCCTTGACTTGCTTTGTACAGACCCAGCTGCATGCCAGAGTTTTCTTTCACTCATGCTGTCTTGCAGTCTACACTCTGGCATCCCCATTCCTGAGCTAGCCAATCCCTGAACAGATTCTCCTCCTCTGGCCTTCCTGCCTTTTATCTGGATTTTCAGGACACACATTATTTCCCCTCCCCGTTTCCCCTTAAGCAAAGAAAAATCCCTGCTCATCCTTCAGCTCTAACTCATTTGACCCTTCTTCCAGAAAGCTGCTTCCTTTCCCCTCACTCCTCTGTTAGAGTTGTTGTAAGTGTCTTCATGAATGTCCCTCTGCAACCCGGCAGCCCCCTCAGGCAGGGACCTTCCATCTCCGCATCTCTTCTCTGTAGCACAGAGCACTGTACGGCTCACAACTTATTTAGAAACGGCAATGAATTAAATTGGAAATGAGCCAGCGGAAGATGGTTCACGGCCCCATGACCCTTTCCTGGAGAATGGGATGTCAGGGTCACCCTGCGGTGATGTTCCAAGCACAGGCGACAGCTGTCAGGCTGTCACACTGCACAGCACAGGCTGGGGGTTTCACGCCCCCACCCAGATTCCCCCCGTGTAGCAGCAGTATCACAGGACATTAATAAAATCAATTATTGGATAAAAATCGCTGGTTTCCAAAGCTTCATTTTGTGCTATTAGCAGGAGAATGCTGTTTCAAAAGGAGATAAGAGAGAGAGGGAAAGAGAGAGAGATCAATTACCAGATAAGATCGAATGGTGCCTGAGATAAATGTGTGCACTGGCAAGTGGCCCCTCTTACCTGCCGTCTGTGGGCTGAGCACCTGCACTGCTGTCTGCGGGGCCTGCCCTGGGCCTTCCTGTGAGGTTCCGCAAGTACAGAATGGCATCCTGCTCAGTGATGGGATGGACGGTACCCGGGCAGCTTTAAATACTTGCACAGCGACTAGGGTCGGTAACACATGAATAAGCATCTCATCCTTGGTGACAATGCCAGCCCCAGGGCCCCAGCCCTCACATTCCAGGTCAGAGCCTGCTCAGTAGGTTGTTCCCAGAGATGCAGCATTCTTTGGGCTTTGATGAACCTGAAAGGTCTGGGCTTTGTTGGATACAGACTGGCTCTCCCCTACAGTGACAGTGCTCGCATCCACTAGGCTGTGGCCCTCAAGGGAAGCATCCAGCTTGCCGAGGCCCTGAAGCCCACACCTCCTGCTGGCTGTGTGGAGAGTCTCTGTTGGCTGTGGAGCTGGTGTGGGTGGGACAGAGGAGACAGCCTGGGCTCTGGGCATCCCCTCCCTGTGTGCATCCTCTCACCTCCTTTGCTGTGGGAATGCACTAGAGGGCCCAGGAGACTGAACTCTGCCCTGGGCTCTGCTGCTGTCCACCTGCGCAACCTCAGATAAGTCAGTAACCTTTGTGACACCTTGTCTTCACGACTCAGCACAGAGGGTTTGGGGAGGATGAAACGAGATCATGAACATGGAAACCAACTTGTACACTCTGAAGTGCTGTCTCCACATGTGGTGAGAGTTATTACTTGCTCCCCCATTGATGCTTCTTAATAATCACAGATTCCTGGGTTGGAGAAAGAGAGGAACAGGCAGGGCGTCTGTGCGGTGGGTTGCATACCTTTATAGATGGATTGCCTGCTTCCTGATGCTGCCTTCCTGTGGCAGAGGAGGCAATGACAGTCATTGTGTACCTACTATGTACCAGCTACTGTGCTGGCGCTTTTCCACCAGGTGTTCTCAAATTACCCTGGATAGGTAGCCTCTGGGGTTGGGATACTAGAATCCAAGTCCCGGCCCAGCCACTTCTGAATTCTGGGATCTTGAGCAAGTTACTGTCTGCATAATGGGAATGTGAGCAATATCCCTCTCATAGAACTCCTGTGAGAGTTACACAAGATCACGTGAGGAAAGGTCCCTGCACAGTACCTGATATATAGGGTGCAGTAAACGGTGGCTGCCTTGACTGTGCTTCTTCTGTTTGTTATTATTGTTGCTGATGGCTTTATTGACATCCTACCTCTGTCCCCAAATTTGATCTAAAGCTTCCCAGAATAAGCCTGGTCCCTGCGGTTGCCCTGACAGGCAGAGGGGGCTAGCAGAGGTCTGGGAGCCGTTCTCACAGACTTCCCGTTCATGTCACACAGATTTCGGATGCCGACTGGGATGACCTGTGGGACCAGTTTGATGAGCGGCGGTATCTGAATGCCAAAAAGTGGCGTGTTGGTGACGATCCCTATAAGCTGTATGCTTTCAACCAGCGGGAGAGCGAGCGGATCTCCAGCAATCGGGCAGTCCCGGACACTCGCCATTTAAGGTACTTCCTCCCTCTCCCTTACCCCTCCCTGCTGTCCTGGCAGGTTGATAGCAGGCTTGATTGGTGAGTGCCGAGTGCCAAGAATTGAGGCAAACCGTTTGTTGCCAGTTGGACACTAAAGGGTTTATGAGGTGGTAATTTACCCTGTCTGCGCTGCTTATGGCTGCGAGCCATCCCAGAGCACCCCCATGGAGAGGGTGGGAGGCCTTCTTCACCTGCATCCTCTCACCCAGTGATCACCGTGGGTGACACCTGCCATGAAATCATGGAGCACTAAAAACCCAACAGCCAGAGCCTGTTTGTCCCTGGCAGAGTCCTATGGCCTGGCTTGGCTTTCAAACTGGGGGAGGGCAGGAGGGGCAGACCCCTGGGAAGTCAGGTTGGTGGTTGCTTCTGTCGCTGGGAGAGGTCCTTCCTCTGACAGCCCAGGCACATTTTGCTGTGTGAGAAGATAACCCAGAGGGGCCTGTTCACTTGCCATTGGATCTGCTGTCTGCCTCGGAGCAGCGCATTCTGTTCTGCCATCCTCTTGGTCAAAGGGTTGCAGAGATCAGGCCTGGCACAACGTAGAAAGCTTTGTTTCCCAGCAAAAAGAGTCTTTGTAAAGGCAGATTCCTGGGTTCACCTCATTACCCATCCCTCCTAGAGTCATACCAGCCCTTCACTTCCTGGTGAGGCCTGAGAAGCAGGTCAGCCTCAACTCCAGCTCCTCCCTCCTGGCCTCCTGGCCTCCAGCTGGAAGGCCGAGGCATGCCAAAGGCCCATGAGGGTGTGTTCCCATCTGCTGTAGGAAGTGGACTTTGCACCAGACCGAAATAGCAGACTGGCTTGCTTGGGGCTTGAAGGCAGTGTTACGTTGAAAGGCCGTAGGACTGGTGTTCGCTTCTTAGCTTTCTATATTTATTTCGGTCCATGGGCACCAAATTGTGGATGCTGGGGTTTATGAGCAGCGCAGTAAGAATTTTCATGACTCATGAGGCTGGTCAATCTGGTGGTGCTTAAGTTGCCAATATGTGAAGGCAGGTGGACTCAGTTTCCCTGACTAGGCTGGTTGTACAACTCAAAGACCTTGACTTGTACAGCATGTACCCCTTGGCAGGGCTGGAGTCCTGGTTTCCCTGTGAAGAAAGCCAGGGCGATGAGCTAGATGGTGTCTGTGGCTTCTTCTAACCCTGACAGTCTGCGAACTTAACTCTCCCCTCGAGGTACCGACGAGACTCTCCCTTAGCAGCAGGGCCTGGAGGTCCCCTACAGCCAGAGACTCAGGGGACGGGCCATACTTAGAACACTCCCCGCTGCTGGCCTGAAAGCTTCCTAAAGTCAAAGTCTCATATTATTCCTATTAAAATTCTCCAGCACTTATCCTGGTCCTTGGCACCTGATAGAATTTTATTTAAATATTAGGTTATTTTATTTCCTTGAGCAGAGACTCCAAATAGGAGAACAGGGAAGAGGGAGGAGACAGAGGCTGAGAAGCCCCATGGGGTCTCAGGTGGGTGCTCCCTCCCTTGTCCTGAGTCCAGTTGCTGAGGCCCTCCAGAGGGACAGAGGATGCCTCCTGGCCGGTAAAGGATGCACCTGGCGCATCTAGGTGAAAGCTGTCAGAGATGCTTCTGAATGCTGCCCCCTGCAGAAGGGAGGCATCAGGGAATTCACTGAGCAGGCAGGTGTGCAGGGATACCCTGAGCAGGACTAATTTCTGTGTGCACCCTATTCTATGATCTGAGAAGCAGAAGTGAAAGAGATTCACAAGGGCTGACGTATACGGCGGTCATGGATAAACAACTGAGCCTGTCCCCAAGGATCCAAGTTCACCAGGTCCAGGCTCTCCACCTAGCCCAGTGTGTTCCACCTGTTAAGTGTGATCTGCTGGGATTGCAGCAAGAAGGGAAGAGAGGATTTAGACGGAATCCAGACACCCTTTGGGAAGGAAAAAAAGGAAAAGTATATCAGCCATATGTCTGCCTCAGGGCCTCAACCTTGCCCTGTGGGAGCTGGCATTGTGTTACTCAGAGAATTGCAGATTTATGGATCCTAATCTGAGTGAGCAGGAAGGGGAAAGGACAGGGGATTGAGAATGAGGACAAGCACATGGGACTAGGCAGCAATGGCAGGGGTATTGAACACCTACTGTGTGCAAAGCCACCAATTGGATCAGCCATCTCCAGGCTGGGTTTGGTATAGGGCTGACCCTGTGACCATATCACCCTTGTGGTAATGAGAGTTCCAGAGACTGCCAGCAAAGCCCAGTATTCTTCCCTCAAATGGGCCCCTAGAGGATCTCCTACTTCCAGCTCTTGCCTGCCAGGGAATCCGTGTCCGTGAGGTTGAAGTCACCAGCCAAGTCCCTTAATCCTTCTGTGATTCCAGCCTCCCTGCTGTATCCTGACTTCATCCTGATGCAGCGCCTGGGGCTTGCCTGCCTGGGCAGACAGAGCCCTGGGGCCCATTCTTGGGCCCTGCCTGCCCAGCTCCGACCAGCTGTGGCTGCTGGTGACCTACATCCTGTAGACCAGGGAGTCTCAACAATGACTGACATTTGGGGCTGGATAATTCTTTGTGGTAGGGGCGCTCCTGTGCATTGTAGGATGTTTAGCAGCATCTCTGGCCTCTACCCACTAAATGCCAGTAGCACCCCCCAAGTTGTGACGAGTAAAAATGTCTCCAGACATTGCCAAATGTCCCGAGAGGCAAAATTGCAACGAGAACCACTGCTGTAAAGCCAGCCCTCTGTTACCTGAGTTCTCAAAGACGAAACGTAAACATGCATTACTAGCCCCAGCAACAGGACGAGGCCATATCTTCCCTGTGAGGCAGAATCAAGCAGAAGGCAGTACAGCCCGGGGGTTAAGGGTACAGCCTCTGGGACCAGATCACCCACCTCCAGTCCTGGCTGTGCTGCTCATTAGCTGAGCGAACTCACCATTGCCTCACTTCTCTGGACTGCAGTTTCCTCTTCTGAAAAATCGGGATACAAATAACAATAATGATACCTACCTAATGCGGCCTTGTGAGGATCAAATAAAATATATGTAAAGTACTTCCCTACACCTTGTAGGTCCAAATTGTAATTAGTCCAAAAATGTCCATTGTTGTTACTATTACAGGGTAATAATATGGGCAGGCTGACACTGCAGGGCCTGGAACGGAAGGGGAGGGCTGACCTGTGAAAACTGAAGATGCTCCAACAAGAGATGCAGCCAAGCACCAGTGTGAGGAAGGGGCATTAGGAAGATCCCTAAGCTGTCAGGAGTGGTGGTGGGGCAGGCAGGAACAGAGGTGGGTTTCAAGGTTAAGTTCCATGCTAGAGAAATGGGCATGGTGGATTCAAACCCCTGTGGACGTGGAGTGTTGGGCATGAGCGTGAGCCTCAGCAGTTCTCAGTCCAGGCAGCCCAGAAGAATCACTTGGGGAGCTTTTTAAAAATGCTGATACCCAGATCTGACCAGCTGAACTATCTCTTTTCTGAGCTTCCCCGTAGAGTCTAATGAGCAGCCAGGATTAGGAATTGCTGCTCTAGGTAAGTGTTTTTAAGACTTAAATAGGCAAACAAATCATCTGAGGATCTTGTTAACCTCTGGTTCAGCAGATCTGGGTGGGGCCTGAGATTCTGATTTCTAACACGCTCCCAGGTGAGGCTGATGCTGCCCATCCATGGATCACTGTTTGAATAGCAAGGGCTTAGAACAACGGTTCTCAAAGTGTGGTTCCCCAAACCGCAGACCAGCAGCACCAGCATCACTTGGGAACTTGTTTGAAATGGAGATTCTGAAGCTTCAGGCCAGAACTACTGAATCAGGAACCCTGGGGGCGGGACCCAGCAATCTGTGTCTTGACAAGCACTACAAGTGATTCTGATGCCCCCTCGAGTTTGAAAACCACAGAGCATCAGCTTGCAGTTGCAGCTGGTGGAACCGGACGAAGCCCACGGGTGGAGTGGCCCAGCCGAAAACCTCAGGGCGTGAGTAGAAAGCAGAGGCCCTGGAATAAGGCCACCTACCTGCCTGTGTGCTGCACACTCTCCCTCTATCCAGGTGACAGGACTTCTGTCTCAGGCCCTGTGGAGACTTTCGGCTTCTCTGGTTCCTTCCTGCCCCTCTCTCTCCTCCCAGTTCCTTCAACCACAGGATCTATATGCTGTCATCTTGCTGGCAGTTGGAATCACCTTAACCAAGAAGCTCCTACTGCAGGGCCACTCCTGAACCCGTGGCCATTGCCCCATACTGGACTCCTGGCTCCCTTGTGGGACCCGAACACATTGATACAGGCTTTGCCCCCTGGTCCACCTTTATGTTCCCATGATGCCTTGCAGCTAAAGTTCTACTAGTTATGACACCAATTGACCTCTAGGAGGAGCACTCTTTGATGGCATCTACTACAGTGCCTGGTGTGTGATAGGAATTCCATAAATGTTGTTGAACAAATGAGAGTGTGAGACTGGAAAGACAATTGACTACCCTCTTTCATCTGCCTTGTGTGCAAAGAGGAAAAGAGGAGCTAAAAGAAGCCCCCTTCCCGTTATCCTTCCATCCTCAGGGGCTTCAGACGAGGGATCAGGAGAACATCCTCAGTTAAAGGAAAAGGCCTTTTTCCTTAAAGAGTTCTCATTACTGAAAAGAGAAGAAACAGCATGTGGGAGGGGTCTGAGCTTATTACATTTGCTTCCAATTTTCTCACCGCAGTAATTGGATTCTGATTTATAGGAGGCGTTTAGACAGTGCCTGAAACAGAGAACTATTAGCTGAGCATTAGAGCAAGCGCTGCCAAGAGGGCGGGCGCGGGGTGAATACTTTGGGATCCAGAGATGCAGCAGGTGAGTGAGGAGGGAAGAAAGGAGGAAGGCTGTGGAAGTTTTCACCCAACAGGCCGCTGTGCTGATAGAAATACCAAATGCATCGGCAGTGTGGAACCCCTGACAAGCAAGTCATGGCGTGGTGTCACGCGATGGAAGCAGCCTCAGAGAGGCTGGGGGCTTAATTTCCCTGTATGGAATAGGACAG